TAATACCTTTAAGTGTAACACAGAATAAGCATGACTAAGGATGGAAAATGAGTCAATGCTGAAATTTGGGTTGTTTATAAGGTGCTCAGCAATGGCGGAGCCATATGTGTTCCTGATCTTGTCCCCAGATTGGAATGTACCATTCCTAATTCTTCTGGGTACGTGCTGGTTAATCCGTGCATCTAAAGATAAGGTAGTTCTACCTATGTAGTTGGCTCTGCAACTTCATCCAAAACGGTATATTACATTATTAATATGGTGGGGAGGCAGAATGTCCTTCCGAGCAGACACAACAAGGAGACCTAGTAGAAAAAACAACACATGTATTGGCGGAAAAAAATAGCAATTTTTAACCGTTGATTTGTTCTGCAAATTTACCACTTATTGAACCCAACCAGGGCAAACGCAAATACACAGGGCATTTAGAAGACATACTCAGTCTAGGTTTAGAGAAATTTAAAATTTTCTTTTTCATGACCGACTTAATAATATCTAAAGGGTACCCATTATTAGCTAGAACCTTAGTAATTGCTTCCAGCTCTTCATCTAGCTTAGATTCTGAGCAGATCATCAAAGCTCTGTGTGTAAGAGTACTAATAAGGTTTTCTTTGCATTGATTAGGACAAAATGCATCCCATCAAATGTATAGTCCGTATTTATTTTCTACTGTCACTCTTGAATCAAAACTGTTCACTGGACTTAATTTGATAAATCTTGATGAATCACTTAAAATTGTCATCATTTTATCAACGTAATCACATTGATTGAGTACAGCAACTCCTGAACCTTTGTCAGGTCTCGTGATTACTGATGATTTATTCTGACACAGTGATTTAATTACCGAGTAGTGTTCTCTGAGCCATTTGAATTTAGAGTATGATATAGGTGTTCTGGCATAACAATGGGCAAAGATCATTAAGTTTGGCCTTGAGGTCTCTAACTTTATTTAAGTCTCCATATTTGGGCATTAAGAATTTCAAATTCTGAAAATATTTCTACACACCTGACAACAACTGGTGAAATAGGGAAGTCCAATCCATGACGCAGTTTTGTACTTTCAATTGGTTGGTTGGTTGGGTTTTATGGCATATCAACCACTGTAGGTCATTTAATGCCAAATCTAGTTATATATATATATATATATACGTACATACATACACATATATATACATATATATATTAAACATATAGTACTATTAAACGTATAGCTGGCAACATTATTTTTTTATAAAAACATATAGCTGGCAACATTATTTTTTCAAAAACGTATAGCTGACAATGTTATTTTTCCAAAAACGCATAGCTGGCAACATTATTTTTTCAAAAATGTAATAGCTGGCAACATTATTTTTTCAAAAACGTAAAGATGGCAACAATATTTTTTCAAAAACATTATCAGAGGCCTTGCTGTTGGACATAGTTTATCGCCATACCCAGGACGCGGATGTAGTTTATCGCCATACCCAGGACGCGGATGTAGTTTATCGCCATACCCAGGATGCGGATGTAGTTTATCGCCATACCCAAGACACTTTCAATCGGAGACAAGTGGTAGGAAGACAGATTAAGAACATTCCCAACAATATCAGAAACGGTAGAGCAACCAAATTTCTTGTATATTGAATATTGCAACTTGTAGAACTGAGTTGACAGTCTTTTACAACTTTGCTTGTGTACAATTCCAACATACCGTGAAAAATGGATTTTATCACAATATGCAAGATTGTCCACGGATTCCCTCCAAAGGTATAAATAGTTGGTCTTGTAATATACAGAATTGAGAGTTAATTTGTTCAAAAAGCTCTTGATAAACGCCCTCTCTATCTTCTGTCCTGGATGTAAATGAGCCTTTTTTATTTTAAACAAAATAGACAGAGGACACACCTTATTTTCTAAGTAAGACTGGAGGAATGTTATATTTTCATGTGTTGATCTTATTTTGCTTTTAATCAACAGTAATGAATTCAATCACCTAATTAAATCCAAATTGTACTGAGTCTTAATTCATTATTTTCTTGGTGGTATATATATGAAAAATGATGGTGTGTGTGTGTGTGTGTGTATATATATATATATATATATATATATATATATATATAAAAAACCTCAGCTTGAGGAACCGGAGAGCCAAGTTTGAATTTCAGTTGAATCCCCTTACATGCTAATACCCTTGGAAGAGGTATGAATCTTTTTTCCTCTCACCAGGTATGGGTAAATAGCAGGACAGACCAGGTTCTATAGCCTTGCAAGGCAACTTGTTTACCGCAGAAAGAAATGGCAACATACTGTGGGAAAAAAAATCTGCCTCATCAGTCATGTTTCAAAAGATACATGATTACTTAAGCAAGTATCACACATTTTCAATTAAAAGGACACAACTCTCAATAGCTCATCTTTTATACAATAAATACCAATGTCACTGGATCACATTTTTTCAATTAAAGGGACACAACTCTTTAACTTTCACTAGCTCATGTTACAGAAATTTTGGATTACCAAGTTTCCATTACTGAAATGTTTTTTTTGGTGATTTTTTGCAACAAATTTTTTTGTATGATAATAATTTTTATAACTTGGAAATAATTTGGGAATAGTCAAAATTAATTGTGAAATCCAGCAAAAGTCACACATCAAACTGTCTTTATATTAAGTGCCAGCAGAAGAATTATTGTTGAACTTTTAAAAGTTAAGCTTAGATATTAATGCAATGCTTGAATGCAGTAATTAATTTTTAGTTCTTCAGTAGTTTATTGTTGCTTATTGCATACGGCAGCAGTATGGCTTGCAAAAAGAAATCTCAGCCAACAGAAGACCAGATAGCAATCAAAAGAGCCAAAGTTGCAGCTAGAAAAAGAAAGACCTGTTGAAATGAAAACAAAGATCAAACGGCATCAAAGAGTGCTTCCAATGCTGAGAATTTGCAATAACTTAAGGACTCTCAACCTCCTGAACAAAGCAAAGGCCCAATCAAGAGTTCTCCACAGGAACTAGCATAAATGCTGTTCAATAGTGCAACTTTTTAGCCTATATATATATATATATATATATATATATATATATATATATATATATGGGCACCTCGAGGTGGTGTAATGCCTAGCAAGCTTGTCTCGCTAGAACAATTACAATTGAGTAGCGAGTTCGATCCTGACTGGGTACCCCCTACTTTCAGCCTTGTGCCACATCTAAGCTACGCTTGGAAAATCACTATATATATATATATATATATATATATATATAATATGATGGTATATATATATATATAATGATGGTGTGTGTGTGTATATATATATATATATATATATATATATATAATGATGGTATATAAGGAATGAGTAAGTGTACATTATTTAAAAAGGCAGATAAAACCTTGTGTTCTGTGAAATTTCTAAACTCTGTTCATCCCTAGAAAAGTAAAATTGTAAGAATGTTAGAAACTGAATAAAAAAAATTCTAAAATTTTCCTTGTTTATCACATTTAATGAAACATGTATAAAAAAAGAATGCTGTCTGAATATACAATATTCGAGATATAGCCATTGTGGACATAGGAATCAACACTGCATGGTCATTGACAGTTTCACACTGATTTCTCAATACCATCTTTACACAAAGAACACTTGATTTGTAAATGGCATTCAGGCCAAACATACAAAGATTTTAGTTGGTTAGCAAATGCAGATTGCATTTCTGAAGATTTGGTGTAAATGTAAATAAAATAACAGCATAAAACCCTTGGCAAGTAGGTTCAAGTCTAATGCTCTGTCTCTACCTATGTGAAATAATATACATATTGATTCACATGCTGTATGTCCATAGCACCATCAAATAAGTAGACATTCATTCCCTTAGATTGCCTGAGAGAGAGAAAGAGAGAGAGAGAGAGATGCTGATGAGTGTGTTGTTAAAAAAAAGAAAAGAAAACAAGACATGGTAATACTTGAGAAAACAAATTGAAAATGAACCAAATCATAGCAGTTAAGAGATTCCCAATGTTCAATCAGAATGTAGGACTTGCTGATTTACTGAATTTGTGTATCAGAACAGAGACATTATTATATATTTCTCTAGAGTTGCATGTTGAGCATTATCATTAGGCAATAAATATAGGAACCCGTGTGATATTAGGAAGTAACAATCAGCATGTGAGACTATCTTGAGCTTTCTGGGTCAGAAGACAACCTGATACAAGACGAGCATATGAGCAATTAGGTTCTGATATATAATCAACAGGAGACATATATCGTTGATGATCGACAGAGATAAGATCTTTGCATAGAGTTATCCATTCAGTCAGTACAGAAAGACGTTAATTAGGCTATCAGAAAAAAACATTAATGTTTCTTTACAAAGATCGTCATTTTTTTTTCTTCCGCTCTCAGACTCACTGGTAAAAAAAAAAAGAAAGAAAGAGTACTAAACAGTGCTTCTTATTTGTTTTTAAACTGATCATGGCTTTGACTTCTTTATCAAGGGTCATTAAACTAGGTATGACTGCTCACCTGGCATAGATGCTGACACGTTAATTAAAGAAGATTTAAGTTAGGGATTTGTTTGCTTATAAAATCATATGAATTTTCGGCACATGAAATTTAAGTGGGTATTTAGCTGATATGTTAGGGCATTAGCATTCCAACTAGAAGACTTGGATTCAAACCATACCATGGATAATTAGTCAAGGAGGCAACTTTTTGCTATCAGTATAAAAAGACAAGCCTAGCAAGTGACCACATTGAAACACCAATACTCATATGATCACCAAAGTTAAGCAACATCGAGCCTGGTCAGTAACTAGATGATTGACCACTTGGAAATACCAGGTGCTGTAAGCTTGGATGTGCATGTGGTGTAATGGGCTTCCAGTTGTATCACATTAAAACTCCAGTTCTTGTATGACCACCGAAGTTAAGCAACATCTAGCCTGGCCAGTAACTAGATTGGTGATCACTTGGGAATACCAGATGTAGTAAGTTTTGATGTGTGGGTGATGTAATGGGCTT